GTAATCAAAGGTTACGAAATAACTCGTGGTTAAGTAACGCAAAGTTTGGCATTTTCGTGTGACACGTACCTTGAGGCAATTAGTCGGTGGGTGTTTTGTATTTTCAGCGAAAAATCACTGCGTTGAAGTGTGTATGTATCTATTACTTTCTCCAATAAGTGCTTTCACTTTTCAAAATCACTGCATGATTATTGATCACTTATTATGCACCGATTGTAGCTTAATACGGTTACCTATTTTCAATTTATATGCGTAAGGATTCTTTTCCTATGGTTTATTACACACACCAAATACAAATACTTTCACCATCGAAAATTAAGAAGGATGTGCTTTCTCACATTTTGTAAATTAGTTTATCCGAGTTATTCGGAATTTTTGATAATTTATAATGCGGAAGTTTTTTTTTTCAAATGATCAATTAGATGTTTAGAAGGTCTAGATCATCTTTCTCCACTGACACACTTTCCGTAGGTAATATCTTCGTTACATTTGCCAGCTATTCTGAAAAACATTTAAGTGAGAGTATTTATTTAGCCGGCATTAATTTGCAGATTAACGACAGTACACATATCTCGTGATATTGAAAATTATGTTCACCATTATAATCTTCCTTTTCTAATTTACTTTCATCAGAAAGGGACATGGTCTACATTACTACAATTTGTAATGCTGCTCTAACAACTGTTTAATAAATGTCATAAAATATCTAATAATAATAAATACACCTAAAGGACTAAATGTGACTAGATGTGTACCAAGAAGTCTAAATAGAGGAGGAGTAAACCTACGGATGAGCAAAATGCTAGTGCGCACACTCTGTGTCTGTGAGTGTGACAGTTATGCGCGGTGAGCCTTTGCGCATGCTATTATCGTTGATTGAAGCTTCTCCTTTATTTAGTCTTCTTGATGTACCGGCATAAATTAATTTTTTTTTAAGGTGGACGTATAATTGGTACAATTTAATTCAAATTATTTTTTTCAAAAGGTGCATCACAAATTGTAGGAATGTAATAGAGCCGACTAGCTGTGAGGAATAATAGTAAAATGGTATGTATATAAAATGAATAGGTACCTTATTCTTGGTAATATTTCTGTGAGAAAATATTTTTTCTGCTTAGAGTTAGGAAAGTTAATCGCCTTGAAGTATTGATTGTGCTTGCAATATGCAAGTAATATTGTATTAATAGTTAAAATTGTTGATAATTAACCTATTAGGTATTGATGGTTATGCAATAAATAAATAAATAAATATATAAATTGTATTTTTATAATTAAATTTATTGTAACCCCCCGAGTTGTGTAATTTGAAAATTTTGGGAGAGGTTAGTTTAAATTGCCCAATAAGATAAATGTCAAGTTGTTATTTAAAGAATTTCAAATTTTGAATAATTACTAAATATTGTTGCAAAATGTTATATCCTTGTGTAAAGTTTATTTAGAAAACCCATAATCCTTGATGATGCTATAAAAACTACTATATTTAAAATTGATTATGATAAATTTGTTTCAATTGTTTATTTATTTATTTGAGTCTGCTTCAATGACCTTTAATGATTAGGTATTCTTAGGTAATAGGTTGTAGACTACCTAAGGCATATTTAGCACCATTTATATAAACCATGATTCACGAAACACTTTCTTTAGTAACTAAATAATATTTTTGTTATTTTTTAAAAAATATTTTCATATAACTGTTTGTTTAAAGGTTGGGAATCAAATAAAGGTTTACATTTCTATCTTCAGGTGAATTCTGAATAAGTTAAGTAGGTACAGGTCTACAAATATAAATAGACATGTAGCTACTTAACTTATTCAGTATTCACCTGAAGACGACTTACCAGTCGAAAAAATTTTATGAATCATAATCGAAATTTCTTTTCGGGCTAATTGATTTCTAAACACCAAACAATTCGGTAATTAAAACTAGTTTCTAATTACCCTCTTTACATAACAAAAGCTTTTTGAATTATATTACAATTAAAAATCCCTAATTACTTTATTTGCATATTTTTAACTTAGTCACGACGCTTTATTTATATAGTCGATAGTTTACAAGCTGTAAGAATATTTTTTTATTATATAACATAATTAATAACTATTTATTTACTCTTATTGTTAATGTAAGTCAAAGCATATTGTCTTGTTTTGTTTTAAGAAAGCATTTTGGGATTAATCTAAAAATTCCCATAATGTATGTATTGAAGAAATGGTTACATAAAAAGATTAAAAATTATTTATATATTCAGCACTTATTCCTTATATAATAATATATCTAATATATTTCTAGGACTCTGAATTATGGATTAACAACATACAAACAAAAAGTGAAATTTAATATAAGCTTGTACATATCTTTTTAAATAGTTTAACCTTTGACTTACATATTTCCTAAGTAAAGAAAAATTAACATCGTGAATATTACAATTACTTAGGTATGATGTGAATATTAAAACATACGAAAAGTAAAACGAGGTTAATGTACAAAAACTCTACACGATTGTTTATCTATTTACCGCGAGCATTTTTTAATAAAATTTCTTTATGAGCAAGCAAAGCATTCTCAATTTCTCAATAGGTCATAATATAACCGGCATAAACCAATAAATTTATAAAGGTTTTGAAAAATTTAAAAGTATCGTGAGCGTTCCCTTTCAAACTTATTATACAATGCAAATATCACTTTTGTTTAATATGTAGGTATAACCATAAAAGACGAATTACGTACAAAGCTAATAGGTTGTTAATTTTATATTGAAATTTTTATTGGCGGCTACCTATGTATATGTGTATAAGATTTATTAATAAATGTCAGGAGTTAATGTGGAGGGGCACACACGTAAACATACAATTTTAATTTTGTCACTTTGAACAATTAATTAATTATAATTAATTAATTGTTCAATAATTATTTGAATAAAATAGGGTTTGGTTAAATTCTTGCGAAGGATAACAAGTTTCCTTGACGCATGCAACTTGATATCCTGGTTAATATTTCCTAATTTTTATTATAATTTTAAACATTTTCAAATTTGCTGTTACCTTAAAAAAGCAAATTAATCCTAATTAAAATGTTTATTGCCAACATTATTAATTAATAAACAAATAATTTTTATTCATTAAAGATAATAAAACAAAAACTTTTCATGTTAGATCCAAAAGTTAAGAACGATCAGAAACGTAAAAAATGCAAATTTTAATTAAATTACATAATGCTTAATTTCACAATTAAACGAAATTGCAAAAATCTTAATTAATTTAATTTTTTAACAGAATGTTTTTATCATGATAATTATCAATACAATTTTAAATTATTATTATTCTTAAAAAAATTTTCAGTTTGCTTAATATCAACTTGTCGACCGTGAGATTTTTACGTAATAAATGACATTCAGAAATTTACATAGTATTTTACATAGAAAAAATCCATATTTTATTAATTTTTTGTCTAGGATTCTAGTACAGTCAATTTTATCTATTTTGTAATGAGATACTTTATCCCACACAAAATTTTGATTTTATAGGTTGGCTATACTTTAAACAGCATAATATTTTGCATATTGAATAATATTTTTATGATTTTTTTAGTACTTACGAGACTTTTCTGGCAAAGAAAATCCTTTCTTTCTTCTTTAACACTAACACCCGCATATTGTAAATAAGTAAATTAAGGACGGCATGGCGAATCGATTTTGACATTAACTGTCAAACCAATGACTGTGATACCAACTATCTAAAGTAAAATTCGACCACATTAAATTTAAGGTATAAAATTAATTTTTTATATAGATTTTGCAAAATAGATAAAATAGCATAAAGAATTCATGTTGTAAGACCTTTTGTCGCACTCGTCAATTACAAAATTGTCGCAAAATGACGTCTTATGACATTAGTTCTTTAATACACTATTTTAATTTCAGTTTTGCTTTTTTGGGTACTTTAGTCATAGAGCCCCCTACATTTTTCATTTACCAATTTTTTTTCTCTAAAATACACTGTTTTCATTTAAAGTTTTCACTAAAAAACAGTTGTGCTATATTGTGAAGAAAAAAATGATTGATTTGAATGAAGAATTCTGCGTTCTATAAAAACGTATATTTGAGGTTAGGTATCTGTCAGTTCATCCCCAATTTCGTCTAATATTATTTTTTATAATTTACATTATTTTGGTCATCATAAAAATGCAACATCTAATTGCCTGTACCAAGGCAATTCATAAATACTCACTATTGTTTAAACATTTAAAATTAAGGTTAATGTTTTGTTTATTTAATTATTTTTTTAACACGCTAATTTGTGACGAATTAAGCATTTGAAAATAAAAGATTTATTTTTTAATTAATCGATCTTATCTGTTTAATTGGTTTTAAAGCAAGCATTATTGATATTGATACCTAGAAACCTCATTTTTGAATAATCAAACCTTAAATGGAGAGAATGGAAGAGCACACCCACAATTTCAATGAAAAAAAAAAATTTTTGCGTTTTTTTATCTCGGGCCTGGTAAAGGGTGCGTAAATAGTACGTAACAAACGTTATAAATATTAAAAACTTCTTACCCCCGCATGGAAATATAAAGCTAGAAAGCAAGGTCAATTCTAGAAACCGAGTAAAGAATTCTTTTTCTAATATGTCAAGGATTTCAATAAGCACTTTAAACAATATCAAAACGGGGGAGTGAACAGGATCAAATATTTTTCGTCCCAAATTGAGTCAATTAAATTAATTAATGCTCGTGCGCTAGATGTTAGGTAATAGTGGTTTTGTGCTACACTTAAGGTGATTATAACACACAATGACGGTGTGGCAAGATTCTATTAAGCGCTAAAAAGACAAATTTGGATGTTAATTTTTTTTAAACAAAAAAGTAATATTCTTACTATCATAAAAAAAAATTTTGGTTTCAAAGAAAAAAACTGAGTACATAGAATGAATGTTCGGGATGTATGTGTGCTAATCCCAACAAATGTACGCATACAACCCGAAGGCGGTGTGGTACTTACCGAAAGAAGCTGTGGCCAGGAGCACGAAGGTAGCAACAATGGTAGCAACCATTTTCACACAAAAAATATTTAATAAAAGTTATACAGAGCACTTAATCCAGACACAAGTATGTCACAAGTAGGAGCTAGAAACACTTCCCCATGTATAAACCGGAACGTAAATTCTCCCCAATGTGACAACAATTTAAATAAGTACCGCGCGAATTGGTCGCAACACGTACTTGAACCGACTGGGTCTTGAGTACGATTAGAAGTTGTTCTTAAGTGAAATGTACCAGCGGGGACTAAGCAAGAGAAAACTTTGTAACCCCCTCCTCTTTTTGCTTGTTTGTTGTTGTTGTTTTCCCTTCGCCGTGTATACATACAACACACGCTGGCATTCACTTCGACAAAATTTTACCTTGTTTTTTACCACCCTCTAAAATATTTCCTCATTTTACCAGGACATAATTTATAATACAATAATCCCATTCTGACCAAAAATTATAAAAATGTCGAAAATTTTATTTAAAGTTTGTTATTTTTATTTTTGAAGATCATTCATATTAGTTGCACCATAACACAGCAAAAAATTTGTCCGTGTAAATTTTCTAGAGTACCTGGTAAAAATATTAGAGTTAAAATCTAGGGTAAACATATATACGCGTTATTTTAACTCTAAAATCCAATCTTATCTATTTTTCATCTAGGTAACTAAATATATTTTACACTATTTAGACACAATTTCTATTATAAAAACATTTACAAAATTAGAGTAGATATTTTCACTAAATCAATTAAATTATAACTTTTATAGAGTTACTTTTAAATCTGGTACATGGTACAGTTTAATCTAAATATATCTAATAAATTCTTATTAGTGAATATTTTAACTCTAAAATGTGTAGATTTAACTCTATTTAGTGTGATTGGCTCACACGGGGTGTTTCTCTTTCCATTCTACTAGCGTGCATTTGTTCATTGTTTCATTGAAATTTGGCAGTGTGACAGTGATTTTGTGTGCATTATTAGTATTAGTAAGTACATTATTATATTAATTATTATTGTTTTATTTATGTATTTGGGTTTTATTGAATAGTTAACACGTTGCAAAGACATAAATAAAACAATCATTAATAATAAAAGGTCTTAAATTCTTGTAAACTACCACACATTCTTTATAAAAAAACCTATATTATAAAATTATCATACTCTATACTAAAGAGTCTATAGGTGTACACGATTATAACCTACCTTAATTTTTTACAATACATTTTTTATAAATTTAATAATTTGTTTGTATACCCTTTCCCATTAAAAACAAGATATAGTGTAAATTAAAAATTATTTACACTAAATATATAAAAATATAATGAATCATTTAATCTATTTTTTGTTAATATCTTATTATTATTATAGAGTAGATTTAACACTAAAATGTGTAAATTTGTCTCTAGATTAGTAAACATTTTAAGTTATTTAGACGAATTTAGTGCTAAATTAACCATTTTTAAGTGTTAAAATAGTAATTTAACAAGAGGTTAAATAACACGATTTAAAGTAATTTTAACACTACAATGGTTATTAAAAATAGCACTATTTTTGGTAAAAGTTACACTGCAATGCACACTACTGTATCAACTCTAAATAAGTTGTATGTATATACCACCTAATTAGTGAACTTTAATAATAATAATAGTAATAATTTAAATAATGTAACTAAGGTTGACAGATGTATACATATATTTTTAAATATATTTTCTGATTTTTTGTTGTATCTATTAATTGTTCTGCGATATCTTTAGGACACCCTGTGTTCCTTAATTAACGGATGCAAAGTAAATTTTTAAATTACTTTCTTTAATGATTATAATTATGCATTAAAAAATTTATATTAGTACGAAACAATAGAACCTCTATATAAAAAAAGAAAATCAAAAATTAGCCTAAATATTTTTAATTAGTTCATTAAGTTATTAAATATAAATAAATAAATAAAAATAAACATGTGATTGTTTAATTAGGTCCGGAAGCAATAAAACGCTATTAATACCTTTAAACGGCAATCAATTACTTCATTTTAGTATTGGCAGGAAAATTTCGTAATTTCGCCATCGCGCTATTACCAAACGACCTCTGCATTAATTTTCAAGATTCACAAAACAAAAAACCGATACTTGAGATAAGAAATCGCAATGTCCGTTCGAATCTTCCAAACGAACGGAACTACTCACTACCTTGGAAATTAACAGCACAGAAAATAATACAAACTCGACATGGGATTCCAAAATAGGCCGATATATGGATTTTTTTAAAAGATTCTCGGAAACACTCAATCCAACCGTATCATGCAAATTTTATTACAAATGTCAGTGTATAAATCATTGAATTTTTTTTTGATAAACTTGCCTAATTTTTTTTTTCAAAGGCGATTTAAATTTTGCAATAAACTAGGCATTGTTGTGGTTAATTTTAATAAATTTTGTGTGCAAATAAATAATGAGTATAACTATCAAAATTACCATAATTCAACCTTCCTAAGATAAAAAAGATAGTATCATATTTTTTTAAATATTTCTCAACTAATTAATGCAATAATTAAATATTAAAATGTTTTACAAAGGTAGCCTATTTGAATTTTATGACATTGTACGTTGATGGTAAAATATCTATATCGCCTTCATAAAAATTTTAACAGTGGTGATGACATACGCCATAAATTTTATAAGCCATATAAAGGTACTATTGAGGCTGTTGAAATTTGGTTAAGGTGCAACAATTATTATTATTGTTACAAGGGGTTAGGAAAGATATAAATTAATTATTTTTTATTTATTTACTAGTTAGCTCTTTCTCTAATATTTATCTTAAATTCTATTGTTGTAATATTATTTTGGTGTCAAATTCCTAAATTCGCATATAAATATCTTAAACAATGTAACTGTTATGTTACAAAATTTTTATATAACCAGGACAAAATAAAACATGAACGGTATATAATACGTTTATTTATATATCTTCATAAAATTAACATTTATACCAGTAAACATTATTATATGTATACATACAAACACTGCGCTTTCATTGGTAACTTTGTTGTATTGTATATTTTTTAAAAAATAAGCATATGAATGATTGTCTTCTGCAAATTAGTATCCTAATATACGTAAATATTAATTCAAAAAATATTGGAAAGCAAGCAAAATTCCTAAATTCGCATATAAATATCTTAAACAATGTAACTGTTTTTTACAAAATTTTTATATAACCAGGACAAAATAAAACATGAACGGTATATAATACGTTTATTTATATATCTTCATAAAATTAACATTTATACCAGTAAACATTATTATATGTATACATAGTTAAATAATCAGTCATTACATACTTAAAACATAAAACAATCTATAGTATAGTATATTTAATAAATAAGACATTTACATACATATGTTTTATATACATTTAATATGGATATTGAGACAAACAGTGTATACACAAGTTGTGCTATAATATTTGGCTAGAATAATTAATCAATACAATTTTTTTAAATCTAAACCAACGAAGTTAAAATTATCACAGTTAATAATAATTAAATTTAGTTATTAGCTTTATGTTAAGCTTGTTTTAAAAATTAAATTTGCACGAGTAAATTTAACAAGGTAAATAGAAAATATTTTGTGGTTTTATATACCTACAGGGTGTCCCAAAATTGGCCGCCCAAAGGGTAGGTAAGGGTGAATTCATCTAAAAATTTCAAGACGAATTTTGCTTTACCGATCTTGCAAAATGCAGGAGTTATTTAATTTTTAAGGCCGCCAATGAGAGCGCACCGAATTTGTTTTTGTTTACTTTACAAACACTGAGCTTTCATTGGTAACTTTGTTGTATTGTATATTTTTTAAAGGATAAGCATATGAATGATTGTCTTCCGCAAATTAGTATCCTAATATACGTAAATATTAATTCAAAAAATATTGGAGAGCAAGCAAAATTCCTAAATTCGCATTAAACAATGTAACTGTTTATTACAAAATTTTTATATAACCAGGACAAAATAAAACATGAACGGTATATAATACGTTTATTTATATATCTTCATAAAATTAACATTTATACCAGTAAACATTATTATATGTATATATAGTTAAATAATCAGTCATTACATACTTAAAACATAAAACAATCTATAGTATAGTATATTTAATAAATAAGACATTTACATACATATGTTTTATATACATTTAATATGGATATTGAGACAAACAGTGTATACACAAGTTGTGCTATAATATTTGGCTAGAATAATTAATCAATACAATTTTTTTAAATCTAAACCAACGAAGTTAAAATTATCACAGTTAATAATAATTAAATTTAGTTAATAGCTTTGTATTTAGCTTGTTTTAAAAATTAAATTTGGACGAGTAAATTTAACAAGTTAAATAGAAAATATTTTGTGGTTTTATATACAGGGTGTCCCAAAATTGGCCGCCCAAAGGGTAGGTAAGGGTGAATTCATCTAAAAATTTTAAGACGAATTTTGCTTTACCAATGTTGCAAAATGCAGGAGTTATTTAATTTTAAGGCTGCCAATGAGAGCGCACCGAATTTGCTTTTGTTTACTTTACAAACACTGCGCTTTCATTGGTAACTTTGTTGTATTGTACATTTTTTAAAGAATAAGCATATGAATGATTGTCTTCCGCAAATTATTATCCTAATATAAGTAAATATTGGAAACCAAGCAAAATATCTGTCCATTTAACTATTATTATAACTATTAAAACAATTACCTAATTTAAACGTGAATTGTAAATTCCTTCCTCTCTTGTTCTTTACGTTCCTGGTATCTGTAAGAAAGTATTAAATATTTTGTATAGTATTTACATTTTATTTATTTAATAAACTAATTACTGTGCATGCCATATTTCAAAATATTGCATGATATACGTAAAAGCAAAGAATTAATAAAAACTAGACATGCAATAATAAACAAATACCTGTTTTCAGAACGAACAAGGATATTTAAAGGTTGTAATTGAAATGTTAGATTTAGGACCTACCTTGCGAGTAATGAGAGGAATAGTTCAGCAGGAAGTTTGAGGCTTCTTGCGTCTCTATCGCATTCGGTTTCGCTTAATTCCCAACTATCGGAAAAACCAGAAGGCGGCTGTAGCATATTCTCTGGATATTCGATGGCAAGCTCCTCCTCAGAACTGGAAGAACCCAGCTTTACGTTTATGTCTAATTTTTTTTCTTTAACCTTCATTTATTTACACTTTCTCATGGCGAGATGAACCGGCAATTTACCCGATCATTTTTATTCAACTTTCATTAATTCCAGTAAAAAACCGTTAAATTATTCATTTAATGCGGTTGGATGAAAAAAAAGTTGTGGGTTTCTATTATGTTAGTTGTTTGTAAGAGCTTATTAGCGTTTTTTAAATGATTTTAAACAAAACTAGTTGTGCAAATTGAAAATGTCAGGGTCAAGGGTTATATTGCCGCCAAATACTTTACACTGATAAATTGGCGTCAAACAGAAATCTATTAAATATGTTTAACAAACTGCTTCTATAATAAATATAAAAGCGGGAAAAATTATGGTCATCGTAATTATTTAACACCCACGAGTTGAACATAGAGTTCGTTATCCATATCCATATCCATATAAATGGAAATATACTTTTAGATGACACTGATACCACATTTATAAATTTTCAAAACCACGTAACATCGTAAATAGTGTGTGTATATCCCTTAACTTTTACTACCAATCAGATTTTATGGTAAAATACGCGAATAGTTAAATATTTTATTATCCTGTATATATTTAAATGTTACATTTGACAATTGTAAAATATTTGGCGGTATACTATAGAATAGATATATATCAAGTTTTATAAACGCCATTTTAAGTACAAATTTTTAGTACAGTGTCCATAAAACATTCTCTCTCATTTACTATATTGATCGTTAGTTTATTTTTAATTTTGATAATACTTTGAAATTATAGTAATAAAAAAACTCAAAGAATAATATATTTTTTCTACTCCCACCTTTAAAACGCCCTTTATCGTACATGTTTCCATGACACTAAGTGACCTTTTAAATACACATTGACAAGTTGTGGCTTTATGGCGCTTTAGTCACGGGCTGAAGTTATTAACCGGTTTTTAGTCACGGGCTGAAGTTAGTTGACAGTTGTCAAATGTCATACAATCGTTAAAATAAATTGCCTTTCTTGTAAAATAATACTAAATGTGAAAATTATATTATTACCTCAATACAAAAATACAAAATATTAAATAGTTTCTCAACGCCAATATTTGAAAAGTTTATATGAACATTGTACTGACCTTTTAATTTCGCCGGCAGTAAACTATAACTTAAATTCGGGCACGGACTCCAGTGTAAAGTGCTTATAAAACATTTTCTTTACTTTCACTGTCAATTTTCAAGAAAAACATTTCGATTTATAATCTGTGTTTATAAAATATAAAAATTTGACATTTGACGGTGACACACAGATTCCCCTATTGTTTCATAGATGGCCCTCTATATAAATTTCTGATTTAAATTTTAAGATAATTTTAAATATTTGTCATAGAAAAAGTATAGTATGCACCTCGTTTATAAACTTTTCTATACACTCATTAATTTAAACACTCGCTATACTATTTTTAACATAATCAAATTATGATGTTATTTTGATATTTTATCTATTTTGCGTTCATAATAACTTCATTATAACACCGCTTTCGGTGCTGTAATGAGATCATTTATACCACCCAAAATTTGGTTTTTATACTTTAAACAGAATAATATTTTGCATATTGGTTATAATAATTTTATGATTTTTCTAGTACTTACGAGACTTTTTTGGCAATAAATTTTGTTTAACATCAAAGAAAATCCTTTTTTTCTTCTTTAACATTAACAGCCGCTTATTGTAAATAAATTAAGGACGGCATGGCGAATCGATTTTGACATTAACTGTCAAACCAATTACTGTGATACCAACTATCTAAAGTAAAATCGACCAAATTAAATTTAAGGTATAAAACTTTTTTTTTATAGAATGTTTGCAACTTAGATAAAATAGCATAAAGAACGCACTCGTCCATTATAAATTGTCCGCGTACGACAAAATTACGTCTTATGACATTAGTTCTTTAATATACTATTAAAGTATCAATAATTGTTAGGTTTAATTTAAATATTATCAGGAAATTTTAATGTCAAAAATATTTATTGGGATGGTTACTTTATGTTCGTATAGATGTCGCTTTTTACAAATATTTAATATAAATAATTTTTTAGATAATATGACTAATGATTAGGGATGGGATTTTAGTTATTTTACCTTTTTTCAACCGATGTAACTATTTAAAAACCAATAAAGTCAAAATGTGTTTTAAAAGATTTTCTTTTATATGAACCCAACTTGTTTTCACCTTTTTTACCTTTTTTGGAGGTTTTTGCTTTAAACTACCTTTTTTATACTTTTGTTACCTATTTTTTTTAACTTGTTTTCACCTTTTTTACCTTTTTTGTAGGTTTTTGCTTTAAACTACCTTTTTATACTTTTGTTACATATTTTTAATTTGTCAGTTTATTGTGACAAAAAGCATAATCTTACGTCTCAAAATATAGAAAAGATTCTTATTTGTTACTCAAGTAGTAAAGTTACATAGTGGGTAAATATAAGATATTCCATATTTTTTAGTTCCTTCTTGCTTTAAGTTATATAAAAAGTTTTATTTTATGTTACTTTATCGTTTGTTACTCTAGTAGTAAATTTGGTAAATATCAGGTATTCCCTGTTATATTTTCAGTTCCTTATAGCTAATTAACTATTGGTCAGTTTATAAAAAAATATTTTATGTTACTTATTTTATAAAAATAAACGAAACTTGAACTTTTAATGTTTTTTTTTTACCTAAAATGCTGTTTTTTAACCTATAATGCTTTTTTTAGTACCTTTTTAGTTACCTATTTTTCAGTTTTTAGTACCTAAATATCCCATCTTTACTAATGATAATGTGTCTAAAATGGCGTTTATCAAATTGATACATTTAGTATTATTTTACAACTGCACTTCATTTTAACCATTGTATGACATTTAGCCCGTGACTAAAACGCCATAAAGGCACAACTTGTCAATGTGTATTTAAAAGGTGACTTAGTGTCATGGAAACATGTATGATAATGGGCGTTTTAAAGGTGGAAGTAGAAAAAGTTATTTGTTATATAATTTAAGTTATATTAGTCTAGTTTAGGTAGAAAGTGGAACTGATTTATTATTAGCGCACAGTAAATTTAAAATTTTAATTGTGTGTTAAATGTTTTTGAATACATTCCTACTAATTTTATTTTGTTTTATTTTTTTAAATATATAGGACAGGTTAATTATAATATTTAAAATGTTATTGCTTTTATGATATAAGATTAACATAATATCCCGATTATTGACCTTTTATTATACTACGACGACGCACAATAAAATCAGGGTTATGAACCATAAATTTGCTACAATGTACAGTAAGGCATGCTTATAATCAAATAATTCTCTTGAGCTGACAATAAATAGCATGCCAATCAACGCACCAAAGCACTTGGCTTAAAACGTAAAGAAAGGTAGCGAAAACATGCGACATAGATGAAAAAGAATACCTTGGCTACCTGCTGGTTCTGTGGAGCCTTGTGCTGGCGACGACATGTTTGGGCGTGTGCCGGCGCTCCGTCATCGGCGACACGTCGTTGGACTCCGTGCTCGAGTCGCGCCGAAACAGATCTGAAACGAGCAACGTTTCGTAACCGCCGTAGCCAGCTGCAGCTGCGCGCTCACCTAAGCCGCCTTTCACCGGCACCCGGTAGTTCGAGCTCGACGGGCACTCGCCGCAAGGGCTGCCGCTCGTTTCGTCGGAATCGCCCGAGTCGCCGCCAGGGCCTCTGCTCGACTGCGCCATCCGGTTCGGGCGCATCCGAGGGGTTTTCATTTGAGTCGTAGCTGAAATTTATAGTTGAATAAAACTAATTGGTTAAAAAACAAATTGAAAAAACCGTTATTTTACTTAGATTTTGGTTGATTTACTTAGAATGCTAGTTATTTAACCAGTAGGGTGGAGCGAAAAAAAATTTTTTTTTCCTTAGCCTGGGGGTGGAATTTGTAGCCTATAAAAAAGAAAATTTTTGAAAAAAAAAAATTTTTTTTACTCAACGTCTTGAGGTGGCCCACTGATTTTTTAAATTAAATTGAAGTTAAAATTCTTTTAAATAAAAAAAAAATTTCAAAAATGAAGTTAAAAAAAATGTTGTGGTCATTATTGTTGTTTTTAAAAAAATTCCAAAATAGTAACATGCTTTTCTGAGGCAATAGAGCGAATTTCGAGTTGAACACGATCAAATTTGTTTATTTTTAGATAAATTTGAAGATTACAAGCCAATTTTTTTTTTTATTCAAAGGAATTTTAACTTAAATTTAATTTAAAAAATCAGTGGGCCACAGACGTTAGGTAAAAAATTTTTTTTTTCAAAAATTTTCTTTTTTTACAGGCTACAAATTCAACCCCCAGGCCAAGGAAAAAAAAAAAATTTCGCTCCACCCTATTAACCAGTTGTGCTACTCAGGATGATTCATCCTGTTCTGTTACTCCTTGTTAAATTATTAATTTTAAAACTCACCGGCATTGTAGTAGCGATGCTTTTGCCAGCTATGCTTGCTGGAGCTTGTACTCTTCGGATACAATCCATTGTGGTCTTCGTCCTCGATATGTCCGAATGTCTTGAATTGCATGGTATAATCTAAAGTCGAAGTGGTTACAGAACGACTATTACTTGCCGGTACGCTAAACGTGGCATAAGGGCTTATTTCGTACATTCCTTGAAAAAAAATCAGAAAAACAAATCCACATCATTTCTTTTAATTGCGCTACTTTTAAGCAGGAACCATACGAACCATACGGAACGAACGACCTTTTCTATTTATTTAGCTTTTTACCTATTACAATTCTACTTTTACTACAAAGCAAAAAATAAATCAATCATACTTTAAGCATGTTAAGATGTGGTGGGTGGTAGTGTGTGTAGAAAAGTGTTTTTGTTTTGATTAAATTGTCTGATCTTTTATAGTTTTTGTCTGGATTAGTAAAATTTATTATTTTACTATTGTGGTCCACGCTACACCCCAATAAACAATTTTTACTACTTATGGTAAAGATACATTATATAAAGGTTATATAAGAGTTGTCAAATTATATAAAAGTTTAACAAGGTTTTATAAAATCGCCATTTAGTTTACTAGTTTTATAATGGTCATATAAGGTTACTGTAAACTCTACGAACATTTTATATAACCTTTAGTAACTGTTACCAGTAGGTTTATAAAGGATTTTATAAAGTTTGCGGTTACCTGTTTTATAAAACTATTGTATTTTCGCCATAATTGGCTTCTCAAAATATTCACATGGTTTAAACAAGTTAATGAATAAGACGACAATAAGAAAGATATCGTCGTACCTATGAAGAAGTATATATTTTAAATGTGCCTGAGGAAGAGAGAAATATTAAAAGAAGGAAAAAGCCGGTAGCAGTTCTTTAGGAAGTTATATAGTGGTTTCCATAATATTCCTGTTATCTCTGGTTATAAAACTTTGGTTTTATAGTGTTACTAAAATAGGTACCGATAACCTTCATAAACTCCGCATATAAGCTTTTTAAGGGGTATATAAGAGTGATATAAATATTTCTGTAACCAAATTAAGAAATTTAGGTTTTATAATTTTGATGATATAACATTTAGGTTTTTTTTTAAATTTGGGTTAAGATTGCTTTGATTTTTTTGTTTTGTTTTTTTTAGTTTATTTTTTTATTATTATAATGGTTTAGTAGGGCTATCGGCCATTTTAAAAAAAGGTCAACTCGTCGCAAAATGATACCTCCCAGAAATTTTATATAATTTTTTATTTAGACAAAATTAACCTCATTTAGCCTTCCTATACATCCACGAGCCGCCACTGGTGGGTACACACAGGATGTAATAATATAACCATTTTTGGTTCCTATTTCGATGAAAAATAATTCAAGTTAACCTTTATAAATCAGGAATTTATCTTTTGTACTTTTACACGACGACCTTGTTTAGCATATAGCCATTCGTTAATTAATTTAAAAAATATGTAGAAATCATGGGCGCCGGAAGGAATTCGTCTAGGGGGGGGGCCTTAAAGTTTTTAACAATTTTGATAGATGTTATTTATAATCAAGTTGTACTGTAGAAGTTCACATTAAACTTAAGTCAAATAAAATATCATCTTTAAACAGGGTGTCCCAAAAGTCGACGAGATCCTTTGGAGGACTGATAGACCAACTCATGACAAAGCAGAAAATCAAAATATGACCTTAGTAAAAAATCGTTAGTTTTTGACATTTTATGAATCTTGTAAAACTTGACACTTGACGATTAGTTTTTCGAGTGCCACAGCTACAAAATCTGCTATTAATTTAATTTTGAATTGTAATTAATAGCAGTCCTATTCAGGGTTTTTGTGTCAAGTTGATGATTTTTTACCAAGGTCATGTTTTGATATTCTGATTAGTCATGAGCTGACCTATGAGTCCTTCAAAGGATATCGTTGACTTTTGGGACACCCTGTATGTATATTTGTAAATTTGACACACCATATTAGCGCCATCTGTTTATCAATTCACTAGGCTTATGAAGAAATCTATTCTATAGTCGACTTTTTCAACAAAATATGTTGAAATATATTATATAGTTCGTATATAGAAATATGTCAGCCAAGAGCGTCTTACTCAGGGATGGGCAAGATCCGGCAAAAAGGATTTAAATCTAAATCCATAAATCCACACCATAAACTGGATCTAAATCCTCAATCATAAATCCATTACGTTATCTGGATTTAAATCCTGAATCCATAAATAAATCCTCTATTTTTTAAATATTTATTTCATTAGTTTTCCAAGAACAGTTTCCGGATTATTTCAATTTTTAAGTTTTATTTAAGCTAAAACCCCTTGGATTCCAAATCAAAATTGATATGAACCTTATTGCACGTATATAAGATTCCATCGAAGATCTTTGGAATATGAACATAATGATCTGTGGCTTCTGGTTTCTTCGCCATAGGATTATGAACGGAATCAGTAAACTGTGCTTCTGATTTCTTTGAACAGCCAGGCATTTCATTCATTTTACAACTGTAACAACACTAGTGTTCATTAAGACGGCACAAATCTTAAATTATCTAAGATAACAAATCTAATTTATCTAAAAAATAATGAACAAATGATAACGATCAGCACTTACCGTCAAATTATGGAGTACCGGAATTTCTGGGTATGAATTTCCAGGGGGGGGGCCGGGCCCCCCCCTGCCCCTATGTAGCGGCGCCCATGGTAGAAATTTGTATTAAATAAATCTTGTCTTTATTAAGTTAAGCTATTTGGAATTGCAACAGCGTACTAAGTTATTTTTGGATAAATATATTTATATTATTATAAAATAATCGTATTTTGAAACGCCTCTTGGTTATTACATTTTTAATGTACGAATACCTTACGCAAGAGTAATCCTGACATTTTGTTCCAAATTAACAATGATTAAACATGTAAAAGTTCATGAGAATATTTCGAATGTAACATGCAAAATAAATCACACACACACACACACATATGTTTCGTGATTGCCATTACATATTATTTATTACCTGATGCCTCATCCAGCATTTTATCCGAGGACTTAACAGGAGATGACGTATAAACCTGCTGACAATTTCTTCTGTTGTCCCTTTCGACCGTCTTGTCGTCCTGGGACTCATTCGCACCTTCACTCTCATGTTGAGAGGTCGCTTTTCTTCTGAAGAAAATAAACCAAAGCAAAACGATTAAAATGACGGTCCCCAAAATGCCGAGTCCCACAATGTAAGCCTTTTTAACAGCGCCTTTTTCCTGTGTTTCGATTCCAAGATGCGGAGGTCGGGGAATTTTTTCTGTAAAAATTACTATAATTAAAAATTTACATTCTAATATCGGCCATTGATAGCAATACACAAAGCCTTTAAAACCAATCAGCGATTATATCATATACATAGCATGTAATTTAAAAGTCTTGAAACAAAATTTTGAACGGTTCAAGGTGGTTATTTACTCCAATTAATGTCCTTGTTGTCAATTGTTAGGTCGGCCTTAACGGGTTATAATAACTGTTTAATATACTCGTATCGTATCGTGTGCACATGTTTATTAAGGTAAAAGTAAAAGTAACTTTGTTGCAAAGAAACTTTGGTGGAATTTTTTTCTTTGTGGACCCTGAGATACGAACGAGTAGAACTTGTAGGAATCTGAATTATTGTTTTACTTAAAAAATATGTAGATTTAATTCTCTTCTCGACTCTTGTTTCAAGATAGCGGTCACACCCATGTCTGCAAAAAGAATTAATGGTAGGCAATTGTGCCATTGTGGCATTAGATTTACCAAAATATTTTTTGTTTTAACCTCAATTTCTCCTTCTGTTTTGCCATATGTTAGACAGAATCATCTGATGTGAAATATGATATATAGATACTGATTAAAAAATAATTAAATAATTTCTTTAAACAAAAAGTTGTACTTTCTTTATTCGAATTAGTATTAAACTGAGAAACCACTCTAGTTATTATTGTTCACACATAATTTACCGTTTAATAACAATTACATAATTTACCTTTATATTTAATACCATACCATAGTGTGGCATATCTAAAAAACTGTATCCTATACCTTCTATTGTCTTATTGTTTGATCTATTTGACTTTCTAGTTGCTACGTTAAATATATGACATATTCTTTCTGATTTATTAAAAATCAACAATTGCCCGACTAAATCGCTTAATCCATTTATAGGATACAACAACTTTTATTTATGAATATCGACCGTACTATATAGACCATTTAGCAATAAAATGATATAATATATTTTATAACACACATATAAAAAGTGAAAGCAAAATTAAAAGTGATCTTAAATCAAACAATACAATATCAAATGTATTGGGTTGTGGGTAATTAAAAATTTAATAAAAGTCTTTTTTCAAGGTTATATGCCTATATATGCAGTTCAAAAGTCAAACTATTATACCCCGCCGTACAATAATGAAAATACATTTAAATGGCATGGTTCCATCTATTGCATTTGGCTCGAAATCAGTGCAGATAATAAAAATTACAGGTCAATGTAGAATAAATTTAAACATATAACCTATAATACAGTGATGTAACCGATACATTTTTTTCAGTATCTAGGTACCGATACAGATACTCTCTGGTAGATGTATCTGGGTACAGATACCGATACATTTTCCCAAAAGTATCTGGGTACAGATACAGATACATTCAAAAAGTATCTAAGTTACTTCCAGATACAATGTTAAAAAAACTTAAAAATTAAATGACAAAAAAAAATTTTTTGGACCTTATAAACAAGCGTGTTAACTATAAAATAAAACTGTTTTGATAAAATTGACGAAATATCCATGAAAAACGGAAATAAATTTTATATTTACGCGCCATATGAAAGCTTACTACAAAATTTGTAGTACAAATTCAAAATAAAATGTATCTTGTATCTAAGGATCTAGATACTTTCAAAAGGATCTAGATACTAAAGTAGATCCTGATTTTTTTAAGTATCTCGATACGTATCTAGGTACATAAAATGTATCTCGATCCAGTATCTAGATACATGTATCTCGATACATTACATCACTGCTATAATATTACATACGAGTAAGTCAAACGTCAACCTATGACAAAATGTAGCAAAGTCGAGAATATCCAGCAAGTACAGATTTATTAAAAATGATATAATGGTAGTAAAATATATATGTACATATACACTCACAGGCAAAATAATCGATCCACACAAATTTTCGATGAATTTCAATCGCAAATAACTTTTTTATTTGATGTCGGATTTAAAGTTTAAATTTTAAACGAATAAGAATATTGTAGATAAATTAATGGACAATCGTTCACATTTTAAAAAATTACTAAAAAATATACGTACGTTTATAATATACAGGTTTAAACAAAAAGATGTTTTTTACCATAAGTTTAAGACACTCTGTAGAGTGGAAAAACCGTATATTGTTATAAATTAAGTTTTATTTATCAAGTCACATTAGTTTTGTTTTTAGTTCACCTCGATATATTTATTTTTGTGGAAAATATGGATTTTTTAAAAAAACATTGCAATTTCCAATATTTTTCTGTATGAAGAACTAAGGTTGCTATGGTCCATCTATGGAGAATGACAGTGACAGTTTTGTCTCATACTTGAACATCAGTCGGAGACATTTTTAAAAGTAAGAAGACACCTCAAAATTAACACATTAATTTACAAAAAACAATTTGATAGCTTTTGAAAGCTGTATGACATGTCCAAGTATGGGATGATTCAACAAAACTGCCACTGTCATCCTCCGTAGGCTATGTATGGACCATAGCAACCTTAGTTCTTCATACAGGAAAAATATTGGAAATTGCAATGTTTTTAAAAAAAAATCCATATTTTCCACAAAAATAAATATATCCAGGTGAACCAAAAACAAAACTGTTAAAAATAGATGTGACTTGATAATTAAAACTTAATTTAGAACAATATACGGTTTTGCCACTCTACAGAGTGTCTTAAACTTATGGTAAAAAATATCTTTTTGTTTAAACCTGTATATTATAAACGTACGTGTACTTTTTAGTAATTTTTAAAATGTGAGCGATTCTGCATTAATGTATCTACAATATTCTTTAATATTTGTTTAAATCCGAAATCAAATAAAAAAGTTATTTGGGATTGAAATTCATCGAAAATTTGTGTGGATCGATTATTTTGCCTGTAAGTGTATATAAAAGTTTTAGAGATAAACATAAAAAAATTGGATTAACAAAAGAACGTTAATAAAAAGTATGTGACAAAAATCTAAAAAATTACAAAAAAACGTCTGCTTTTTTTTTCATGTTATATATTACAAAGATGTATTAACATCTTGGCTGGTTTTTTATATTTATTGTACTGTGCAAATTTTTTCCACTATTTTTTAATTTTGAACTACTGTAAGAATTTGTCCTACCATTTTATAAATTTATGCCACTGTGCAAAGTTTTACCACTAATTATTAATTTTGAATAACTACCATTTTTTAAATTTTTTCCACTGTTTTTTTAATTTTGAACTAATGTAAGAATTTGTCCTACCATTTTTCAAATGTATGCAACTGTGCGAATTTTTTCTGCTTTTTTTAATTTTTGAATTACAGTAAGAACTTGTCTATTTTATTAATAATGTTACTGTACAAATTTTTACCACTATTTTTTTAATTTGAATCACAGAGAATTTGTCCTACAATTTTTTAAATTTATGCTACTGTACGAATTTTCACGCTATTTTTGTAATTTGAAATTTGTCCAACCACTTTTTAAATTTATGCATGTGAGGGCAGTTTTCAATTATCCAATTTTTTTCCTTAGGTCCGTAGATCACACTTTAAATCCGTATATGACCATTATAAAACTTATAATCTTACGAGTGACGCAAAATTTCTCCCGCCGTAATATTTTGTTCAAACATGGTTGTTTTATTTATTAAATCTTTACCTTGTTTTTATAGTTAATTAGTAATATGATATGCAAGTCATTGATTAAATAGAAAAAATTGCATATAATATAGTTAAATCGTGTAATTTGCTATATTAAAATAATAATCCAGCAAAACCTGTTAAAGAAATAGAACATACTTGTATATTATGTAAATAGAATTAAACACGCTAATAATGTTGTTTTACTTTTTCTTACTTAACATAACTAATGTTCGTTTAATACAAAATGAAATTGAACGACATGAATTGTAATTTTCACTTTTTTAACATAATTATTATACATTCCTTACTTAATGTTTACATTACCTCCAGCAAGTGACGTTGTGGCAAAATGAAAAACCTCGCTCACAATCCCGGCGTCGTTTTCCGCGCTTATCTTCAATTGGTACCAAGTACTCGGTATCAAGTCATGTACGACGATTTTTTCCTCAGAAACGCTTCTCGCAATCAAATTCCACCCTTTCTCCCCATACATCCTATACTGCACGGAAAACTGCAAAATCGGACAACCTCCGTCCGGCCAGTTGTACAAATTCAGCTGCAGAGTGGATGAGTTGGTGGTTATGAAGTCCTTTTCCTTCGGCACTTGCGGCGGGCCTCCTTTTGTACTAACAGTCCTAATGGGGCTGGGACTCCCCTTGCCAACTCTATTATGAGCAAGGAGGTAAATGTGAAACATTGAGCCACACTTGAGCCCGTCCAACGTGTAAATGATCTGCTCTGGGGAAAGATCAATTGACGTCCAGTCTTTGTTATCGTATTTCATATTTAAAGTGTAGCCTGCAATCAAATTTAAATTTAATATTTGTACGTAGCGACATCTATGAAACAACTTGGGAATGTGTCAAATGTCAAATGACATTTGAGAACTGTCAACTAAGTTAAAACTAACTTCAGCCCATGACTAAAACGCCACAAATGTGTATTTAAAAGGTCATAAAACATGTACGATAATGGGCAAAAAGCAAATGCCAAAACTAATTATCCTTATAAGTTATAGCTTGAGAGGAAAAGGTTTGAAAAGTAAGGCACACAGACCTTGTAAGTATTATAATACACGTAATATTGCTGCCTACAATAATAATAATAATAATAAAAAAATTTTAAAGGTGATATCGTATCCGGATAACAAAAGAAGTTTAACTTGATTTAAATTCGTTTACCGGCTCGAATACAATTAACTCACGTTTACACTTTCAAATTACATATTACATACACCTACTACATATGCCTTGTTACAGGTATTGGCGCCTTAGAATGAATTAGGAATCTGTTAAATTAATTTAAACGGATCCTGTTTACACATTGTAATACAATTTAGGTATAAACAAAAATAAACCTTGTATCATTGCGCCACCATCTTCCGGTTGTGTCCAATGCAGCCTTATACTAGAAGCAGTAGTAAATTGCACTTCCAAATTGGGGGAATTGGGAGGCATCAGCACCACAAGCGTGTAGGTTATCTCGTCCTCGCCAAAAAGATTTTTGGCGGAACAACTATAATTCCCGGCCAAAGATTGTTCAACACCTAAATAATAAATAATGAATCGGTATTACTGTGTGGGTAAATATATTGAGACGTCCCCCAAGTGAATTTTTTTATTTTTGGTTGTTTCACTGTTAGTCTAAAGTCTATTCAAATCCAAGCTGGACTAAATGTAAACACAATCCTCCGAATCGACCAATCCGAGTCACACCATCAGAATCGACCAATAAGAACGAGTTATCATGCGTCTGGGCGTTTTTGTTTAGTCCAGCTTGGATTTGAATACACATTAGAATGGGTTTTTTGGGAAGCCAACAGGTCTAAGTGGTAATAACATAACACAAGTGGTTCTGCACTAATGCAAGAATTTTAAGAAATCATACATTTTGAATATTAGAGCTTCACGGAAGATAGCTTCACGGAGTTTAGGATTTCGTATGTTTTTTTAATCATACCTTTGTATATTTAAAATAAGTTATTGTATCTTTTGACACCTTAATATTTTTAAAAAATACAATTGTACATACGAGATGTGTTCACAAAATAACGGGAATTGTTAAATTTCGCGGGTTTGGAGGATCCGGTTGTCATAAAATTTTCTTTATTATGTTAACATAATAAAGAAAATTTTACCAATTGGTATACATGCCCCCGAAGTATGATAAAAACTTTAGCTGTTTTCATTGTTTACTTTGCCTGTGGCAGCCGCTAAGGTTAAACGTGTTTTATGAGTTTAAAAGAAATGGATCAAAGAATTTTGCATCCAATTTTGCTTAAATAAATTCTGTGAAATGTTAACAAAGGCCTAAAGTGAGTCTGCTATAAGTAAAACAAGAGTTTACAAGTGGTATTAAGAGGTATTAAGAGTTTCCAAGATGGCCGTGAAGACGTTGAAGATGACGAACGCCCTGAACGCACAAGCGCATTAACAACCGATAAAAACATGGAAAAAGTGGAAGAAATGGTTATATAAACCATCAGAGAAGTCGCTGATGATATCGATTGGCTCATCCCATGAAATTTTTTCGAATGTTTTGGGCATGAAACGCGTGGCAGCAAAATTGGTTCTTAAATTTTTGGCCAAAAACAATACTGTAATGATGCCCCAGCCTCCATATTCGCCAGACATGTCTCTGTCTGACTTTTTCCTATTCCCAAAAATAAAGAAAACCTTAAAGAACTAAAGGAACAAAGATCGAGTTTTAGAAGTGTTTCGAGTATTGAAAGAAGAGCTGGCACATGTGCATAATATCCAATGGGGACTATTTTGAAGGCGACAACATTAATGTAGACTAATAAATAAATATTTGTTTCAAAAAACGAAAATTCCCGATATTTTCTGAACACACCTCGTACATATATAAAATATTTATAAAAAATATCTATTACTGAGATATTACACTTCACGGTGGATAGGTTTTTAAATAGCAAATTAATGAACTTAAACTTTTGAATTATAAAACAGCAACACTCTCATCTGCATATAAATTCCAACTGACCTTCAAGAATCACATGCTTCTATAATGTCGTAAACAGAGGTTTTTGCTTATTTAAAATGATTAAAGCGCCATCCGTTGCATACAATTTAAAGCAAAAACAGATTCACGGAGGATAGAATCAATTTTTGTAACACCTACATAAATGGTTATAAAAATTATTTCTTTTAATTTTTAATAAGTGATATTTTATAGTTGATTGGATGTGTTTAATTTACCTAGTGAACTGATATTTTTAGTATGCTTTTACTACCTCAGATATTTGAAAACATATAGGTTAACCTAGAAAGAGTCACGGAGGATAGGTTTTAGACTTTTAAAACATTGTAAAAAATAATTAATTGCGGTTAAATATCACACAATAAAAGTGTAGGTCAAACTCATTTAGTTTTATTAAAAATCACGGGGTAACACCATCGGGGGACATTTCGTGAGATGCACTGTACTTAATACGTACTAAATATTTTTAAATTCCCATCTGGCGTGACTTCAAAGTAGGGGCTGAAAGTAATCGGTCGTTCTCTGTGTATCCATCTAGTTCTTGGGGTGGGATTACCGACGGCGAAACAGGGCATGATTAGTTTCGATTTGTCAGGTTTATGTAACGTTTGGCTGAAAGAAGCGATCCTCGAGGGAGCCCTGGAGTTGGTAGCCTGGGCTATGATAGCCGTGGGCTCGCCCTCGCCTATGCCGGTGGTGGCGGATATCCAAAATTCGTATAACTGATGTTCAACCTAAAGCAAGTTAATAATTACAATTTGGTTGCGCGCCTTTTTGCTTAAGTTTAACGAACCAAATTTCTGACTTCGTAGTTGAGCCCGTGGGACGTCATGTCTTCCACACGGACGTTATAGTTGGTGTGCTTTCCCACGCGTCCTGCTTCGCGATAATATATAGTGTAATGACTTATGCGCCCGTTTGGTTTCGCTGGCGATAACCAAGACACCAGAATTGATTCCCCCGTTAAGGCTGCAGCCTTTATGTTCGCTGGCGGACCTGGAACTATTCACACATTTTACGCTCTTATCCACTTTACTATAACTATACTTTACTTTAAGTACATACTATAGTCTATAGATAAAATATTATGGGTGGTGTGTAAAGCAAGGCTTAATCCAAATTTCAATACGTTTATAACAAAAAGTTGCTTTCTTTTACATTGAATAATATATGTTTTATGTCAAGGTTTCTACTTATGTTATACACATTTCTGGTCTAAATACTACGCCATTTAATTTGAAACCTAGCAAAAAATCTCTTTCAAAACAAATAATTCAATTAATTTTTTGTAACACACGAAATAAATCTATTAAATTAATACATATTATTTTCGTTAAAAATCGAATTCACCGGTTCAGCAGCAATTAACATTTCCATTTACGGCGGCGACCCAACATTTACTAAAAACTAATTAATATCTTTAAAACATTTAAACATTAACAACCCGCCAAAATTTCATATGTTACGAAATTGATCTTATATAACATGTAATTAAAGTGTTTGAAGTGTTTTTCATGATATAAGAATTCTGATCTTAAGTAGAGCAAGTCGCAGACTAGTTATCAGTTAAAACCTGTGGCAAAAATGTCAACGGCATAATTTTAGCCAAACATTGAACCAGTTTTAATAAATGACCGACATCTACGCAACGATTTTTTTTATTTATCGATTTGTCATTCATAACTGTTTTTGATTTACAGACATACTTTTCCATTTAAAATAGTTTGTGTTGGTTTAAATTGTTTTAGGGCCCCCCAGGATATACGTATCCTTTTATATATTGTTTATAAAAAGGCCAATAAACTTTGGCATGCGTTACATATTTGGTAGGGATTTAAAAACTCGTTTTCCTGGAGCTGAAATTTCTATAAATTATGTTTTATTATCCTAAAACCTATTTAATTCCCACTCAGTTCAAACTTTTTTATCCCATTAATATTAACATAATTTTAAATATTATACTGATGCTTTAAATATATTTATATCAATTAGACCATTTATGAATAAATTATTAGTTGTATTTAGCCAGTATAAATAATTAATCAACCTGGAATAAAGCTTAAAATTTTATGAATTAATTTATAGTTACGATACAAAACTTATAAATAACAAAGTTTTAAGCGCAACGTTATGCAACCCAGATTACACATTGTCGTACGGTTTTTGCCAATGCTTGTAAACTACTTTTACGTGATTTTATGGTAGTAATTTAAAATAATAAAACAATAATAAATAATGAAACAGATTTTTACGATTTTGTTTAAACTGTTTTGTCTTATAAAATCTAATATTAGCTCATTAAAAAATAATTTTAATATTAGGTTACTATCAGATATAGATTTCTGCAGAAAGTTAATCTAATCTAATCACTACGCAATGCGTAGTGATTAGATTAGATTAGTACGCATTTTTTTTTTCAGACTGAAAAATTGTCACTTTACAGCTTTGGTCTACAATATACTATTTTTTGAAGTACATAAAAAACTTACGGTCTTGTTCACTTGTACATATTATAGGGTGGCTTATAACACCATCTCCTGCCCCTGTATAAGCTAAGGCCTTAATTGAATAATTTGTATATTTATGCAGTCCATGTAAATAGGTTTCAGTACTTGATGTCCTTTTCACTTCACCTGTTGTAGCTAAATCTAAAATACAATTAATTATTATTTAAATGTATAAAAATTATATTAATAATAATACCATTTTCGTTGGATAGTGGTCTATAAAAAATCTTGTAGCCCAGTATGTGTCCACCGTGGTAATGATTCTGTGGCGGAGACCAGGAAATCTTCATAATCTGCGAGGATATTTCAGAGCATAATAAATCTTGAGGGGGTGCCTCAGGAACACCTTCTTTGGTAGTGCCGGTTATCACCGGCGATGATGGTCCAGTCGAGATGCTATTGAAGGCACGTAATGTTATATCGTAGCGCGTAAATTTCTTTAGGCCTGTCAATTGGAGTTTATTGGTAGCCCAGCCTTTAACTGTCATACTTTTCGTTTGGTTCGGTTGGGCTTGTTCGTTCCAAGTTACAATGTAACCTTCAATGGAAACAATTAGTTAGATTAGTTCTGATACTTTGGTGATATGAGTGAGTATGAGTATAAGAGACGTATAACCGGCCCCATTGCCTCATCACTCCCGGACCCTGCACAGGCCTCACCTGTGCTTGCTGGGTGCAAATGTCCATTGCGTCCCGTACTGTACCTTATTTAGGGCTTGAGAGCGAAATGCCAATAGTTTTAATAGCCATTCCTGAGTTCGCCGGGCCGATGCTATACGCCCAGTAGGATCATGAAGGAGGTAGGACGGGAGGGATAGACAGTACGACACGGGATCCCCTTAGACCGGGAAGTTAGTAATATATTACTCCAAACATTTGGGATTACTTTGGTGATATGTTTAACAAATATTAGAAATATCCCCCAACACCAAAACAACACACAAAGTGCTTAAAGTTTTGGTGTTGGGGAATATTTCTAATATTTGTTTCAACTTGACCACATTCAAACATTAGTTCCATCTCGAGTACCTAATAGTTCTCCGTTCCAGCTCTCTCTAGGCGGTACGAGCCACGTTAAAAATAGCTCTCCTGCGCCCACCGCCTCAACTCTGATGTCTTTTGGGGCTTCTGCTGGTTCCTCTTCTTGCGTTTTAACTACAATTGACTCGGTGAAAGGACTTTGGTCTATATTATTGACGGCAAGCATTCTTAATGTGTAAACGGTGGCGGGCAGTAGGCCACCAATGGCAGTTTCTTCTCTTTGTATTTGGGTATTTGTGTGCTCGGAACTGAAATCGAAGTTTATTGGATGGTGTGGTGTGGAATGAGAAAATAAAGCTTACTTGACATCTGGATTAGCCGGTATTGTCAGATTGTAGACGGCAGATTGGTCCCAATCAGCTGGGTTGGCGCCTGGAATTTCGTTCATTATCATCCGAGTAGGTAATAAAATAAAAACAAATCGCACCTAATACTTGATACTGAAGCAAGTATCCAATGACGGCACTGTTGCCATCGAATGGCCGCCTCCATGCCAGTTTAACTGATCGGCTTGATACTTCGACAACTTCTAACATACTGGGAGGATCAGGCCTCTCTTGAACGGCCAGATTGATAACGTGCTCGCTACGACCGAACGCATTTTCTGCCAGACATTTATACACCCCGGAATCTTCGCGATCAGTTCTGCTGATTGTCACCACCGATTTCATCCCGTTTTCCGTTTTGCTATTACTCACCGTGTACCTGTGCAAATCATAGTTAATCGGATATTTATATAAATCTGCGCGACTACAGTGCTTGCTGCAAAGGAGATTTTAAAGAACTAATGTCATAAGACGTCATTTTTTCCCACGCGGACAATTTGTAATGGACGGTCTTATGACATGAGTTCTTTATGCTATTTTATCTATTTTGCATAAATTCTATAAAAATAATTAATTTTATACCTTAAATTTAATTTGGTCGAATTTTACTTTAGATAGTTGGTATCACAGTCATTGGTTTGACAGTTAATGATCGATTCGCCATGCCGTCCTTAATTTACTTATTTACAATAAGCGGCTGTTAATGTTAAAGAAGAAAAAAAAGATTTTCTTTGGTGTTAAACAAAATTTATTGCCAGAAAAATCTAGTACTAGAAAAATCATAAGTTAAATTAACATTAAGTTAACATTAAACTGATTTAGATTAAACACAATAGTGCATTTATGACACATGTTAAAATTGTGAGTCCATTATTTGCAAATTTAGGGGCGGTCGTTATTACTCATGTATTTTTACCGTAAATTGGAATTAGGCGTGATTTCACTAGATACTTCTCTAGTAAAATCACACTTGATAAGATTCATTTGCTATGTTAAAGACCTATTCCAGACCTTAAGATGGTGTACGTATTGTAAATTAGTATTTCGAGAACACTCTGCAGATCCATGGATCTCGGAATGATAACTCATCGCCGGTGAGTCAGCGCTCGAACAATCGAGAGTGTGGAGCTCGCTGGAATGTTCGAGAAGACGTAGGCGCTAAATATATAAGGAACGGCGAAGCATGGGGCAGTCAGTCAAGTTTTGGTACTCGCGACGAAATAAATAAATATACGTGCAAATAAATAGACTCTTGAACAGTAGTGATATATAAATAATTAGTAGTTAAGTGTTTAGTTAGTTTTATAGTTTCTTATGGTTTAAGTGTAATGAAGTTATAAAATAAATTGTTTAGTTCGTTAATAAACCAGTGCGTGTTTTAATTCACACTACGAACAGTAAAAAACGTTACAATATTATAATTTAATATCTTCATTTAGAAATGATTATTTAGTAATATTTTGCTTTTGTCTGTAAATTATGCTGAAAACAAAGTTAAAATAATATGTATGTGTAGTCGTAACTTTAATCGATAACTTCAACATTTTTGCTGATGTGGAGTGTAAAATTTATGGAGCTCTAAAATAAGTGTAAATTTCATGATAGCAAATAAAACTGGCACAGGATGCTAACTTTTTTAATTTTAAATACTAACACATTTTCAATTCATATTTTCATTTTTCCTTCTGCGCGCGGATGACACGGTAAAACAGATTGCTTTTTTCGTTTTTTCCGACATTCTATTTGTTTTTATGGCACACTTGGCAAAAGTTTAATAAGATTAAAAAAATTTACATAATAGATTTGTCCTTTATTACGGTCAAAATTGCCATGGTTAAGTGAATTAAATCTATTGTGTATTTAATTTATCTCCTTGTTTTACATTATCAATAAAACTCTTATTTTAACTTTATTAAGCATCTACTTGGTGTTTTTTTTATTTGCCCTTTATTTCAGCACCACAAAATCTAATTTAGTTGAAAGTTAAACTAAATGACTTACCGATAATTATTCATATCGATGCGGTTGCCGTTTAGAGTCCACAGTACTTCAATCGGATTATCTCCGTACACATGACACATCAATACCGCCGAAGTGGCCCTTTTCGTCGACACGTTTTTCGTCGCTAAATCGAAGCGCGCCGGTTCTGAAAAACAAAACAAACAGACCGGACGACCCGGATTTATAGTGATGGATGGGCAGAATTAAAATACTTTACCATTAACACCGACATATATCACTTTTCCCAGGCCGGATCCAATATCGTTTGTGGCCCTGCACAAGTAATGCCCTTCGTCCTGGGAACTCACAGATTCCAACCACATGGAACCGTTCGCCAGGAGAGCGGCTCTGCTATGAAAGCTTAATAGCGGCTGATAATCCGTGGAAATTTTACCCTGTCCTTTAAGCCATGTAATTTGAGGCTCGGGAGATCCTTTGGCGAGACAGTCGACGAGAACTGGATGACCCAAAAGCACCGAAACGTCCTGAGGTTCCTTTAGCCACTGCGGAGCGACTGGACACATCGTAACTTTGAATTACCACACAATTACGACCAAATACTAATATTTACCTTTAACAATCAGATGGGCGGTGTAATTTGCCCTCGCGGCAGAGTTACTTGCCATGCAAGTGTACGCACCGCTGTGCCTTGAGGATACTTCTTTAAATATTAACATGCTGTAGAATTCCGCAGCACGTTCCTCAACCTTAAAGGATTTTACATGTCACTATCAATTGATTCATAGAAGGGAGGTCCACAAATATATTATATATTTGGCTGAAATTTTTTATCTTTTTGTACCCTTATTTTTTAAATATCTATAACTTTTTAAAAAATGTTTTGTTTTGTTATAGAAAAATAATATTTGGACCGATCTAATAAATAAATAAATAAAAAAATCTTCATTGTTATTTTTTTAATTTTCGAAATAGTAACTTCGACATTTTTTGCAAATTCTATGAAATTTTCAGCTTATTTGTCAAAATACAACTATGGGAATTTTTAAGGATGTAGAAAGAACCTCAAAATTTGACCAAAAAAATAATAAATTAAATTGAAAGTGGTTACCATCCAAAAAATAAAATTAAAAGTCATCGAAAAATGTTTTTCAAAAAAGTAAGAAAAAAATAGAAAATAGTTCTGATTAATAATAATAATAATAATAATAATAAACTTTATTGGAAATCCAAAAGGCTAACGACTTTCGTCTTCCTGCCCAGTTCTGATTAATTTTTTTTTATATTTCAGATTTTATGAAAATTCTCTAAAATGATCGTTTTCTACTTTTTTTTCCATTACATTTTTTTTTTTAATTAACTATATTTTCTTTTTGTAAAAACATTTTTTTACCAAACTAAAAAAAGTTATGAATTTATAAAAATATAGAACAAAATTATTTTAATTATTTTTTTAATTTTCGAAAAAAAAACCAAAATTTCTCGATAATTGTAATTTTTTATTATTAGAAACATCGACATTTTTTTCTAAATTCTTTACATTTTTATCTTATTTGTCCTAATACCACTCTGGGAATTTTTGAGGATATAGAGAACCTCAAAGTTTGACAAAAAAAATAATAAATTAAATTGAAAGACGTAATCATCAAAAAAATTTCAATGTTTTTTCGAAAAAGTAAGAAAAAAATAGAAGATAGTTCTGAATAATTTTTTTTATATTTGAAAATTCTCTGAAATGTTCAGAGTAGCGTTTTTTCGTTTTCTCCTTTTTTTAAATTAAACTCTGGAGTTTTTGAGGATGTAGAGAGAACCTCAAATTTAAAAAAAAAATAGTTTAAAAAAATATTCAGAACGAAAAAAAATTTTTTGATGAGTTTTAATTTTTTTTTTAAACTTGAGGTTTCTCTACCTCCTCAAAAATCCCTAGAGTGGTATATAAGTAAGAAATAAGAAATAAGCCAACAAAAAACCGCCACTTTGAAAATTTTAGTTTCTAATAAAAAAGGAAAAAAAAATAAAAATGACAATCAACGAGAATTTTTTTGGTTTTTCACGAAAATTAAAAAAAAAGTTGAAAAAGCGGTCTAAATAATTTTTATATATATATTTGTCTGAAAAGTATATTCAATTTAATTTTCACCTTATTTGTTATAATACCACTCTGGGAATTTTTAGGGATGTGGAGAGAACCTTAAAGTTTGACAAAAAAATCATAAATGAAATTAAAATTGGTAATCATCAAAAAAATTTCAATGTTTTTCGAAAAAGTAAAAAAATGGAAGATAGTTCTAAATAATTTTTTTTTATATTTGACATTTTCTGTACATTTCAGACTGCCTTTTTTTGTTTTCTACTTTCTTTTTAATTGATTTTTTTTTAAATCAGTTCATATTAAATTTGGCTAAAATTTCTTTTCTTTTTGTACACCCTTAAAAACATTTTTTTACCCGAACAAAAAAAAGTTATGAATTTAAAAAAAACGACGTTTTTTTTCAAATGTTTTATTTTTAAATGCGCATTGTTTTTTTTTAATTTTCGGAAAAAATCTAAAATTTCTCGATAATTTTCATCTTAAAAATTATTTTTTTTATTATAAACTTTGCAAATTCTCTGAAATTTTCAGCTTATTTGTCATAATATCACTCTGGACATTTGAGAATGTAGAGAGAACCTCAAAATTTGACAAAAAAAATAATAAATAAAATTGAAAGTGGAAATCATCAAAAAAATTTCAATGTTTTTCGAAAAACTAAAAAAAAAATGGAAGACAGTTTTGAATATTTTTTTATATTTGAGATTTTTAAAAATTCTCTGGAATTTTTCGTTTTCTACTTTTTTTTTCATTTAAATTTTTTTTTAAATCAGCTTATATTATATTTGGCTGAATCTTTTTGTACCCTATTAGAAATATTTTTTTACCGAACAGGAAAAAATAAAGAGCCATTGTTTTAAAAAAATCATATCTCTTTTTCGGTTGGGTAAAAAATTTGAAAAAAATCTGAAAAATATTTTTGATGGTGTAGAAAAGGATAAAAAAGTTTCAGCCAAATCAAAAAGGGTCGATTTGGTATGGAATGCCTTTAAATGTTATCCTAATACATATATTTATTAACTGTACCTGAAGTGAGGCCGAGATGGGATCGTTATCCTTGTGCCAGGAAAAATGTATGGGTAGATCGCCAGATGTGACGTAGCAGGTCACCTGAGCCCTGCCGCCCTCCTGCAGACTGGATGGAAAAGAAAACGGTTCCAAAACCGGGGGACTGTGCACTATTATTTCAATGTCTCTTCGGGCCGATTCTCCCTCCCTATTAGTTACTGTGCAAGTGTAGAAACCGGAGTCTATCAATGGATCCAAACGCGATATCGTTAGGGCCCCACCTTCCACTAACTGATGCCTTTCAATAGAATTTCAAATAAGCTTTTATGTAGCGGAAGAATGTCTTGGTTCGCATAAAAACTGAACTGAACCGTTCCAAGCAGTGTTTTATCAGATCTTGGCAATGAAAATGGGGGAATTTTTAGTAAATAAATAAAACGATGCCTAGGGTCTTGCAAGTTTGCGGTTTTCCTTACCTTAGATCGATTGGCAATTCTTGTCCACGTCTTTCCCATTTGACGCCGTTGATAGGATAACCGGAATACGGACAGTGCAGGGTAATATCAGCAGAGGCGACCGCCTTTATTGGTCCAATCGAACGGATGAACGGCGGACCTGTACCAGCGAAATGTATTAAATGCAAGTCTTCGCGAGACCATGAATAAAACATACCGTATATATTCAGTCTTGCCGAATGATCAGTCGATCCCAGAGAATTTAATGCTCTGCAACTGTACAGTCCTCCGTCCTCCACACGCGAGTTGCTTATGTTTAAATGACTTATAACGTCGCCGGTCTTGTCCACGTACTGACTGATGGCATATCTAACAATCATAAAACAGTATGATCAAAAAGAACCGGAAATTCTTAAGTTGGCACACCTTTTAATCTCATGTTAAGTGGTAATTTAAGTTTACGAAAAAAAAAAATCGTTAATCGAATCGGAATTTTGTCGCCGGGCCGGGCCATACGCCCGATTTAGGCTAGTGGAGTGCGGGACAAGGAGGGAAAATATTTTGGTTTTTGAAGGACACTGAACCAAAACTAAGTACAATCCGGAATCCCCATAAACCAGGGATTTAGTAATACCTCCATTCAATTAAGGTTCATGAATGGGGTTTGGGTGGCTAGTTAGCTGCTTGGACCTATCCTTGATGGTCTTAAAGTACTATCTGTTCGTTTGTGTACTGTATTGAAAGATCGGGCACTGCAATCCGCAATTGTTTGCCCCACTGTGCGAAACCTTTTCTTCAGTCTAGGGTCGAGAACCATCGATAGATAGTTTTCGGTAGTCGGCAATGTGACTACCGATAGTTAACAAACGTTTTTTTTTGTTTATAACGAATTTTGGTTATTTTAAGTATTTACGTATACATTTATTTACCTGTGTCCGAATTTAATGTCGTTTAAGAGTTCGCCGTCCAATAACCAGCGGAATCGGGGTGGCGGTGAACCAGTGGCGGAGCATCTAAGGGATACTTGAGGACCCGGAGTCATGGCCTGTTCGATGAAAGTGTACTGTAGCTCTGGCACCGTGTCTGCAATAATTTCATTCAATTTTTGTTGCTTTGTTATAATAAATATATGAATTATATTTTGCATGTGGATGATATACGGGGAATCTAAAATGCGAAAAATTTGATATCTTTTTTAGTTCCAGACTTATATAGAATTGCTCCTTTTTAAACCCTGTATAAAGGTTTGTTGGCGATTGCATTTCAATTTAATGAAATATTTAATAAAATTTGTTAAATAGTGTTTGCTTTTTACATTTGCCTTAGCAAATAAGTATAAAGCAAATATTATTAAATGCTGTTTAATTTATTCAGCCATATTCAATGACGATATTTCCATAAAATTAACTTCATGTTTTCATGTTTTTATGCTTATACAGGGGGCACCAAATATTCTTTTATGTTTATACTTCTATGGGTATTTTTTTATTACACGTAGAAAAAAACAAAAGATGGTGGTGGTATCTCAAAATCCAGTAGGCGAAAAATCACAAATTATTTGTTTTAAAGTGTAGATTTTGATAAACTGTATTTTTGGAGCAAACGACGCCATATTAATACAAAATACAAGGCCTACTATGTCAGTTTTTAAGAGTAAATTTTTAAGAATTCATAATATTATTATTAGCGATTTTTTTAAACAAAATATAAGCACGGCACTTGATTCACCACCCCTCAAAACTATCCTATACTAAATTTTATTGAAAAATTTTAAGAAAAAAAATGCACAAAAATTTATTTTGTCAAGTTATCCATGAAAAAACATTGAAATAAAATTAAACTAATATTAACATGGTACTATTACTATAAGTTAATTTTATTTCGATGTTTTTTCATGGATAACTTGACAAAATAAATTTTTGTAGTTATTATTCTGCATTTTTTTTTCTTAAAATTTTTTAATAAAATTTAGTATAGGGTAGTTTTGAGGGGTGGTGCATCCAGTGCCGTGCTTAGATTTTGTTTAAAAAAATCGCTAATATGAATTCTTAAAAATTTACTCTTAAAAACTGACATAGTAGGCCTTGTATTTTGTAAAAATATGGCGTTTTTTGCTTCAAAAATACAGTTTATCAAGATCTACAGTTTAAAACAAATCGCACATTAAATAAAGATTTTACAGGGGTGAGTCGCAAACAAATGGGTCACACTGTAGATGTAAAACTTACTTTTAATTTCAAGAATAACAAAGTTATACCTATTTTTGGTGTTGACAGGTTTTCATTTTTTTTAAATTATTTAATTTAAGAAAATAATGCATTATAGCGTTTATATAATATTAACCATTAGGTACCTAAATCTGATTAATTAATTAATTTAAATTCTGGCGGTGCATAAAATTTAAAGTTTATTCTATACTATAAATGTTTACCGAGTTTTGCTTAAATTTATTTTGGCATATTAAAACATAAAATCTATTATAAAATAAATCTGTTTTAAAATAATACGGTTTGCCTTTATTAATGAAACAAAGGGTCAGTTTTTAATCAGCGTAAAAACGCGGCAGTTTAAAAGAAAAGTACCTCTGTATATCCAGGATACTTTAAAGAAATGAAAGTTTAAAAGTAAAGTAATATCCGCGGGCGTGTTTAATGAAGTCATTTATCATATGAACTGAAAGTTAATGATATTTTTCTTAGGAGAAGAATATGGTCTCATTTAACCCGTGGCGGGTCAAGTATAAAATTATTTTATGAGAAAATAGAGGAAACCCGGTTTTACATCATTGGTGACGGAAGTTCGAAGTCATTTCCTGTATGGTTTTTCTCATTCGCGCCAGACCAACATCTCCCGTTCGGCTTGTTTTATATCATAATTTTACCCACCGTCACAACGTTTATATTAAAAACCCTTTCAGGATTTTCACCCAAATTGATTTAGACACTTTACTGGGAAAATTTATGGTTTCAACTTTGCATTTAATGAAAAAAATAAGTGTATAAGACGCTTAAATTTCCAATTTAAGGAAATGAAAGTCGCGATTTATAAGAAATATAAACTAATCCAATTTAATGGAACAGTATAGATGAAGATGAATATAACCTAACACAATACACTGTCGATCGGTTAAATGTAGTGAGATAATGATGTAGGGTAGAGAGCCAATGGTGAAAAGTTTCTACAATTCACTTATTTTATTAGCACATACACACACATTCGGCACAAATCGTCACGCTACATTAGTTTCGCAAAACCTTTTAATTCTTAAGTCGGTTTCATATAGATGCGAAATGCGAAATACGAATATTCTCATTTCGCAACTCATTTCATAAATATACAAAGATGTGAACTATTTTAGGGACATTGTTTTCTCACTAGGCGATATTTTCCATGCTATTTTAGGTACTAAAATAGTAAAGTTAAAACTCAACAAAACAAACACTGATAAGCATGCGTATCTCGCCAAATTAGAGCGATTTCCGCCGCCTAGATTCAAATCTGGCGAATTCGCAGGATATGTCGAAACGCTTTTCTCGCCAAATCAAATGGACCAATGAGAGCATTTTTCGCAATTCGCATTTCGCATCTATATGAAACGTGGTTTACACATTACCTCCCAATCGTAATTCGGCGCTGCCCTGGGCGCTTTCTCTATCGTTTTGGACAACACATTGATACATCCCGCGGTCGTGTCTAGTAATTTCGCTTACGGCCAAAACCAGAGGGCTTAGGAGTTTAACATTTCCACTTTCGTCCACCGACAGCGGCTCTCCATTTCTGTACCATTGAATACGTTGCACTGGCGAACCAGATACCGAACAATTGAAAAGAGCGCTCTCCCCAGAATTTATCACCTACAGAAATAATAAAAATTTGTATAAATTAAATAAGGATTAAAAGTAATACTTGTAGCTGCGGAAGGATGTGGACGTTCAGATGAGCTGTTACAAACAAGTGGATATCCAAACGTTGTTCCCCAAAATTATTAGATACTTTACAAGTCCATCGTCCAGCATCATTTGGCTTTACTCTTCTTATATAAAGTATATCTTGAGATGGCTCATATCTCGATGATGAATGCACCGGCTGAAGTTGACCGTTTATTTCACGAAACCAACTAGATGATTATTAAAAATATTAATACAAAATTACGAATGTAAAATGCAACTGCTACTTACCTAAATATTGGCGGAGGATTTCCTTGCGCTGAGCAAGTCAAGTGAATATCCGTTTCGCCTTCAGCGGAGACGGTAGCTTGGATTGTAGGAGCTAGTCGGGGTGCTGTACTTCTAGTTGGATCTAGGTGAAAATGATGATTATAACATAGGGCTACATAGTTTTAACAGAAACCAGACTATATATACTGTTTTTTGGGTATGTGGGGGAATCAGTGTGACCACAAAAATGACCTTCACCCCTGGGGCTGTAGCCACCGCAACTCAATTTTTTTAAGGTCGTGGATGACAGTGTCGATGGTTAATGCCATTCCAGGAATTTTGCCGCCGGGCCGACCATGCGCCCGATTTAGGCTAGTGTAGTGGTTTAATTTAATATTTTATGGTGTAGTTTGATATTTATAATGAGAAATTGGAATAAATACCCCAGTAGCACAAAATATTGGTCCTATATGGGGCGCATATATGCCCAATATTTTATCTGGGACCAATATTGGATTTATTTAGCCGATGTTGGCCCTATATTGGCATAAAATGGTTATTTAATATATCTTGCCAATGTTTATCCAATGTTGGTCCTATATTGGCATATCATTTTACGCCAATATATCATTAAACATATTTATCCAAGATCGGTCCAATATTGGCATATCAGTTTAAGCCAATATATCATTAAAAATATTTATCCAAGGTTGGTCCTATATTGGCATATCATTTTACGCCAATATATCATTAAAAATATTTATTCAAGATCGGTCCAATATTGGCATATCAGTTTAAGCCAATATATCATTAAAAATATTTATCCAAGGTTGGTCCTATATTGGCATATCATTTTACGCCAATATATCATTAAAAATATTTATTCAAGGTTGGCCCTATATTGGCGTAACATGATTATTCATATCATAGTCGATGTGTGTGCTATGTTGGCCCCATATTGTTTCAAATGTTTCAAAATTCGCCAATATGTAGGCAACCCATGCATACCTCTCGCCTCTGTAGCACAATAGATACTCCTATAAAGGTGGAATGCCTTAAGCTGTTAATTTAGAATTTCTTACTAAGGCAAAATTACTGACCATACCGCTTCTGCTTGTAAGTTTTGAAGGGACACAGCTGGTCCTGTGGCCCACTCTGCCAAAAGTAAGCAGTGGGTCCCACTACTTACTTTTAGCAAAAGCTTTTTATAAAATTTAAAATTTAAGGTTAAACAAATATTGGGCCAATGCGGATTTTCAATATGGGTTATATAATGTAAAACAACTTCGGGCCAATATGGATTTCCAATATCGGTTATATAATGTCAAACAACTTTTCAGAGTTTCAAAGAGGTATCACAAAGAGGCAGTTAACATTTAAAAAAAATTGAGTTGGGGTCTCTACAGCCCCAGGGGTTGCTTAGTAAAGATCATATTGATTCCCCCTATATCTTGGAAACAGTTCTAAGAAATTTTTGATATTGTTCTTAGTTACACTTATAGAGCATTGCTTGTTTGTAAATATTACACTGTGATTCAAAAAATCTACTATTCTTTTTTTTTACTTTTGTCAAACCTCGCAAACAAATGAATATTAAGCTGAGCCCAATACACATTTTAATAGGGAATTGAGTGCCCTGCATAAGTTATCTTATGTTTTTTTTATAAACGACATATAAAAGACATTTTAGGTCAAATTTAAAAAAAAATTACATTTATCGAAAAAACAAAAGAAAACTTTTTTGTAGATCAGTAAATTTTCAATAAAAATATGTACTACTCATTTTAAAATCCTATCTATTTTGAAAGTTATAATATTTAACTTTTTAAACTTTTAAAATGATAGGTTGACAAAAAAAACACAAAATTGTACAGCAATTAATTCCCTATTAAAATATTTATTGATCTTTATATTTATTTATAAGCAAGATACAAAATGAGCTCATTTTGAGGTGCCCAGCAACCAATTTTTGATATCAGAAGTCAAAAAAATATTCGATTTTTTAGATCACTCTATGGACAGTGTAACATACTTTGATTGCGACTCACCCCTGTAAAATCTTTATTTGATTTGTAAAAAATAAACAACAATAACAATTTACAAAAATTTATTCTGTCAAGTCATCTATGAAAAAAACATTGAAATAAAATTAAACTAACATGGTTAGTTTTAACAAATAAAAAACGCAATAGAAACTTAAAACAACAATGGAACAAAAATTCTCTACAATTCGATTTTCATCTCTCTTAAAATGAATTAGTCAAAAATAACGAATTATAAGTCATATTTGACTAATTGTCATAGCGAAAAAGCAGTCACTAATAATTAGTCAAATTCTACTGAATGAAATAGTCAAATTAGTAGATTTAAATTTAAAAAAAGTTTTGACTCAGCCGGGGATTGAACTCAGGTCTGTCACTTGTCAAGCTTGTCAAGCTGTTGCCATAACCCATTCGGCCATCAGCCGAATTGATAAAAATCTATTTACGTAATAAAAAATAACTATTTAAAAGTAAAAACGACTATTTTATTAGTAAAAAATGCTGGTACTAATTCAAATAGTTTACACTTCCGGTTGAAATCGCACAATAAATAAAGATTTTACAGGGGTGAGTCTGATTTCGGTTAAAATTTCTGTTGGTTGGCGTTTAATACCTGTGACGGTTAGGATGGCAGGGGCACTTCTCTTTCTTTCTTGAGTTAAAGAGTGTAGTGTGAGGCATGAGTATTTCGAAAGTCCATCCTCTGCTCTAGCAGACCTGATGTGCAATTCTCCAGTGCCATAAGTAACAACAATTCTGCCCCCTGTAAATTCCGAGCTAATTTAGCAATAGTGATGGTAATAAATCGTTGTGTGACTTTATTTAAACGGCACTTGTGAACAATTAATCGTTAAATAACTTTGTTTAGCGCAAATAGAGTGGTAATCGGCTAATTAACAGTAGTCTCTATAGATTGTTATCAGCGGCTGCATTGATTAATATGGACGGAAACTGCTGACCTATACATAAATGGCCTCGGCCAACTATATCTCATATAAAAGCAGGGATATTTTCACCGAATAAAAATGATGACATGCTCTATTGTACGAAGGAAATAATCAATTTACAGATTGTGGCTTCGAGTCAAATCTACCGGCCATTGTGGCCATTGTGGCCAGATAGTTCACGTTCACATTTCAGAGATATATCAAATAATCGATTAAATTGAAATATTGTTTTTTTATCTTCTCTCTCAACAGTTGCAATTTTAGGATCTTAATAAAACATAAATAAAAGTTTAACCAGGTCAGCAAGTAGTTTTCAACTAAAGCGGAAGTAGCTATCCGACATTCTACAGGTGGCAGATTAATATTTTATTTATATAAATCCGGCCAGCATTATTTATTATTTTTCTACCTATCAAAATTCCATTTATTCCATTTGAGCTAAACAAGATTATCCACTTTACTCCTAAATTATTCATAAATTATTGTGCATTATTTAAAACGAGCCCAACCTGATTATTGAACAAAAATTTAAGTTTGTAGTATGCCGCATAGAAATTTTACTCATTTTATCGCATCCCATTGTATCTTTTTTTGTTTTACTGCATAACGGACCAAGGACTTCGTATTCAATTTAAGTTTCTGCCTTCAACAATGGCGCGGCCATAGGAAAGCTGGACCTTTTCCCCAGTGAAAACACTTCGTTGCTAACTTTCCAATGATAACCTTAACCGAAAGGTGCATCTTTTTTAAAATAAAATATCTATGAGGAAAATGTATTTAAAAAACATTTTAAATAATACAGTTAATATTAACAAGATCAAATTTTAAAAGCCTATACATTGTGTCACCTAATAATTTTTTGTATTAGTGCTACTGTTTTTTAATAAACTTTTTTGACAAAACCAGGGTCACTGACCTATCCTATATGGGTTATTCTACAAAAGTTATAGAGTAGGTATTTTAATATTTTTTCTAAATATTTTAGTATATTACAAAAGATCCGTGTTTTTTTAACTTGTCCACCCAATTTTAGTGTATTTTTTCAAAAGCACGTTTGTATAAAAACATCATAAATATTCAAAACATCAGTACCTTGGCGTGTCACAACTCCTGAATCAAATACTGTCCGTTCAGGCTAAGTTGAGCGGTCTAAGGAATGTCACCCAGTTCATCATCTCTATGTTCAGGCACAATAAAATACATGTATTTCGGTAGCCGCTCTGTACGAACAAACGACAAGCCGCGGCACTGATAAATCATCTTCTTATTACCAAAATCTCGCGACGATTCGATATTTAATTTAATCAACGGCCATATGATCCCCACCAAAGCGCTCAACTTAGCCTGAGTGATATTATTTTAAAATATATTCAATTTATCTTAAATTTTTTAATTTCACTACAAACTATAAAACATTAAATAATTTATTTTTCATATTTTATCATATATTCGAATAATAGCAATTTTTTAAAAATTGATAATCTTTGTACTTAGTTTTACCCGTCAGTTCTGTGTCCAATGTTAAAATTAAAAATTCCTACGAAATATTGAAGTTTAAACGCCCAGTCCTCGTTTTAACTCAAGTGTTGGTAAAAAATTACCTACAGAACCCGCCCTTTGCACGACAGTCATCTTGAAAACAATGCAAGCGGCGAAGTTGTGGTGAATGCGCGTATAGTTCCAGTCAAAATTTCAGTACTGTGGTGAGTAGTTATTTTCTTACGTATATACATTTCATTGTAATTTATATAAGGCCATATGTGATTTGTTGATAAGTAGCGTCCACTAATAAAAATATCAGTAAAATACTTAATTCCGAATTATAATCTCAAATTTGTATCCCATTCATCAGTACCGTGTCGTCAGTTCCATGTTCGATGTTTCGGTTATCTTTTTTTCGCAAACTTCAATTTAAATTCTGATTGCGCAAAACTTGTTTATTTAATGTCATTATAAACTCATATAAATTTGGTGTGGGTCCCATATCTAATAATTGAGATATCGGTATACCCAAAATCCACCATCCGCCACTGATGTGTGGTATTATTTGATTTTAAGATATTTAATGTATAATATGCTCAAAGTTGCAATAAATCTTATATTTTCCAATAAATTATGTATTTAATTAGTACCCTGGTATACTCGTCACTTCCCTTGCATTCAAATTTAGAAAACACAGATAATTCAGAAACTGTTTGAAAAAGTCTGGAACAGTATATTTATTATATTATCTATGTTCTCATAACAAAATACTGTTTAATTTTCTCCGAAAACTATATAAACAAAATGAGATCAAAAGTTGCCCAACTTTTGTAGGATCACCCATATATCATCATTGTTTTTACCTCTAAAAACAATGATATTAAACATTTATTATGATTTTGTGGAACACTTAAAAAATAGCTACATGAGAATCAATCGACGTAAAAAGTAAAAGGTGAAATTTAAAATCGACGGGAAAACCAGGGAAACCTCGAGATAACAATAATAATAATAATTCAAGTGCCTAAAAATAATAATCTCGTTAAATGAAATGTTTGAATTTGTTCTCGCTCACTCAAATTCATGTTCATTATACACCTTAATGTACTTTTACATATTTTAGTATGCAGTTACGAGTATATCACATCAACACGCTATAACTTTTTCAAACTTAATTAAACGAAACATAAATACTTGCCCATATTGGATCCAGGAAGAAGAATCGACTCATCCCGAGACCAGGACGTTACTGTTACGTGTTCCTTAACGAAAGCTGGAATTACACAGCCCAATACTGCTGTATTTCCGGCTGATACGTGAGTGTGGTAGACAGCCACTTCGTAGTGTTGATTTACCACTAAAACAAACAAATTTCGAACTAATTAAACCAATTGATCAATTTCAATCATATTTCCTCCTACTCCTTGTGATACCAGTCTACTGTTTACCTCCTGAAAAACTTGATCGTAATAATATTTGTTTACTATCTTCGACTCGTCGGATTTCATTATTTCATGGGTGGAGTTAAGTTCGGTCTTGGTTCTGAGGAGAGCGCATCGAGTGTGAAAAATATTTCTCGATAAGTTTTGTAAAGGAAAATAGAAATTTAAATAAAGCTATATTTGAAGGTTATATAACCTCCCACTAAACAAATTGCACTACTTATGGTAACGATAAAGTATATAAAGGTTATATAAGAGTTATATTTAGTTTACTGGTTTTATAATGGTCATATAAGGTTACTGTAAACTCTAATTATATGATTAAGTTAACAGGCAAAATAATCGATCCACACAAATTTTCGATGAATTTCAATCGCAAATAACTTTTTTATTTGATGTCGGATTTAAACGAATATTAAAGAATATTGTAGATAAATTAATGGACAATCGCTCACATTTTAAAATTACCAAAAAATAGACGTACGTTTATAATATACAGGTTTAAACAAAAATATGTTTTTTACCATAAGTTTAAGACACAATGTAGAGTGACAAAACCGTATATTGTTCTAAATTAAGTTTTATTTATCAATTCACATCTATTCTTAACAGTTTTGTTTTTGGTTCACCTCGATATATTTATTTTTGTGGCAAATATGGATTTTTTAAAAAAACATTGCAATTTCCAATATTTTTCTGTATGAAGAACTAAGGTTGCTATGGTCCATCCATAGGCTATGGAGAATGACAGTGACAGTTTTGTTGAATCATCCCATACTTGGACAGGTCATACAGCTTTCAAAAGCTATTAAATTGTTTTTTGCAAATTAATGTTTAAATTTTGAGGTGTCTTCTTACTTTAAAAAATGGATATGTCTCCTACTGATGTTGCCAGAGCCATTAATTTAATCCAAGATGGGCGGTCACAGTATTACGTGGCAAGTGTTTTAAACGTCACAAGAAGTAAAGTACAAGGGCAACATCAGTCGGAGACATTTTTAAAAGTAAGAATATACCTCAAAATTAACACATTAATTTACAAAAAACAATTTGATAGTTTTTGAAAGCTGTATATGGCATGTCCAAGTATGGGATGATTCAACAAAACTGTCACTGTCATCCTCCATAGGCTATGGATGAACCATAGCAACCTTAGTTCTTCATAAAGGAGAAATATTGGAAATTGCAATGTTTTTTTTTAAAAATTCATATTTTCCACAAAAATAAATAAATCAAGGTGAACCAAAAACAAAACTGTTAAAAATAGATGTGACTTGATAATTAAATTTTAATTTAGAACAATATACGGTTTTGCCACTCTATAGAGTGTCTTAAACTTATGGTAAAAAACATATTTTTGTTTAAACCTGTATATTATAAACGTACGTGTATTTTTTAGTAATTTTTAAAATGTGAGCGATTCTCCGTTAATGTATTTGCAATATTCTTTAATATTTGTTTAAATCCGAAATCAAATAAAAAAGTTATTTGCGATTGAAATTCATCGAAAATTTGTGTGGATCGATTATTTTGCCTGTGAGTGTATAATCGTTTCTACAAACATTTTATATAACCTTTAGTAACCGTTACCAGTAGATTTATAAAGGAGTTTTATAAAGTTTGCGGTTACCTGTTTTATAAAACTATTGTGTCTTTAATTTTTTTAATTAAAAATAGGTTGAAAAGAAAATATTTAGAATAATATAATATTATTAACATATTAACACATTATTACTGCAGGCAAAAATGGCGAACCTTATAACACTAACCTGAGCGGTTAGATGGTTGCCTATCAAAAGTTGTATAACATCACTTGTAGTAACGACAGTTAATAAAATGTATATAAGAGTTTTAAAATTATATAATAACACTAAGTAACTTAGATAGTCCTATCAAACTGAACTATTACCTTAGGTTATATAAAATTACCATGAGCAATATAAGAGGGCTCAAGGTTGATACATTCTCTCCGCCATGATTGTTTTTACATAAAATAAATGTTAATCGAATTGTATTACAAAAACAACTTAATTGACCAAACCAAGGTAAAAAATTCATTATTTTAAAGTAAGCAAAAGAAAGATATTAATGTATTTTAAAAAAAATTTAATATTATAAAAAATATTTATGTTTTGGTATTTTGATGTCCCCTGCTGTTTTTTGAATTGTCGTGTACATATTTACAATAAAAATTACTTTGCACTTAAGGTCGTAATGAGTAAAAAATCTTGGATTTAAATTATATAACATTAATATTTTAGCCATACCTGTCTTCTCAAAATATTCACGTGATTTAACAAGTTAATGAATAAGATGGCAATAAGAAAGATAGTGTACCTATAAAGAAATATTTTAAATGTGCCTGAGGGAGAGAGAAATTATAAAAGAAGGAAAAAAGCCGGTAGAAGTTTTTTAGGAAGTTATATAGTGGTTTCCATAATATTCCTGTTATCTCTAGTTATAAAACTTGAGTTTTATAGTGTTACTAAAATAGGTACCGATAACCTTCACAAACTCCCCAAATAAGCTCTTTAAGGGGTATATAAAAGTGATATAAATGTTTCTGTTACCAAATTAAGAAATTTAGGTTTATAATTTGGATGATATAACATTTATGGAAACCGCTATGAAAACAAAAATGTTTATTGGGCTATGTGTGTGCACAATGTTGGATGGTTTTTTCTGAAATCATTGGACCCTAATAGTAGTACCTGGTTAATAAGTATTTATCTTCAGGACCACCATAAGGACGGTAGGTTTAGCTGTAAGAAGAAGAAGAAAAATGGGTGGTGTTGTTAAATCACTAACTTTAATCAAAACATCCACAAACAACTCCCATTAATTGTAAATTAGAAATTAAGGGTTGCAGTTGATTAAATGCAAATGAATGTGTTTTGTAAATGATAAGGCAGAAGAAGCCATTGTAGGTGACAGACTGTATTGCATAGGTGTATAAGTATTAAAAATCAATGATACAAGTTTCAGTTTTATGGTGTGGTGGTAAGGAAAGAGAGTGGGAATGGAAAAACAAACAACTGCATGTTGCAGACTTTTTTTTCTATAAAGAAACGATGTTTGGTATAGGCGCTTTGATGCCATTCACCGAACAAATCATGTAGTGGTTGATAAAATGCATCCTTTCAGATCCCTAGATTAAAAACGATAATTAAAAGTATACGATGACAAACGACATATTAAATTACTTCTTTCACATTGAAATTTATTTATCACCTCCTTTTTTATCTCTTTGTTTCACTTTTAATCATCAGAAAGATAAAACGGATTTTATTCCTTTTGAATGTATGTAAATATCGACCAAATTTAATATGAAGTTTTCTCTGGGGTACACGAAAAAGAAATTATTAAGTAGAATCTACCACTTTCTTATATAAACAGTTGATAAAACTTCCTATAGCTGGAAATTGCTTCCTAAATAAGTTACAGTCCCCTCAGGGTTAAAACTAATAAACGTATATTGCCGATTGTACTTAATCCTGAATTTTTATATATATATATATATATATTAGGGTGCTGTTTTTTCACGACTATTTTTATTTTTTCGCTCCAAACTTAAAATCTTGTTGAAAATGGTCAAAAAAAATTTCCTGAAAATTTGAGCCTTTAATATTAACTCAAAGTACTCTACCAAAGCGTATATAGATTTCCCATCTAAAATACATGTAAACTTTGATTATTTTTTTTTAATATCTATATCTCAGCCGCATTTTGTGCTATTGTATTGTTTTAAAAGGAGATTTACTCGTAATCAAAAGTTCTACAAAAATGCTTTAATAGCTGTAATCTGCACCTGTAGGATGCAGATCCAGGTTTTTTTAACTTGTCCACCTAATTTTAATGTATTTTTTCAAAAACACGTATGTAGAAAAACATAATAAATATTCAAAACATCAGTACCTTGGCGTGTCAACTCCTGAATCAAATATTTGAGTTATTTTATTTTAAAATATATTCAATTTATCTTCAATTTTTCAATTTCACTACAAACTATAAAACATTAAATAATGTATTTTTCATATTTTATCATAGATTTGAATAATAGCAATTTTTAAAAAATTGATAATCTTTGTACTCACTTTTACCCGTCAGTTCTGTGCCCAATGTTAAAATTCAAAATTCCTGCGAAATATTGAAGTTTAAACGTCAAGTCCTCGTTTTAACTCAAGTGTTGGTAAAAAATTACCTACAGAGCCCGCCCTTTGCACGACAGTCATCTTGAAAACAATGCAAGCGGCGAAGTTGTGGTGAATGCACGTATAGTTCCAGTCAAAATTTTAGTACTGTGGTGAGTAGTTATTTTCTTACGTATATATATTTCATTGTAATTTATATAAGGCTATATGTGATTTTTTGATAAGTAGCATCCACTAATAAAAAATTGCAGTAAAATACTTAATTCTGAATTATAATCTCAAATTTGTATCCCATTTATCAGTACCGTGTCGTCAGTTACATGTTCGATGTTTTGGTTGTTTTTTTTCGCAAACTTCAATTTAAATTCTGCTTGCGCAGAACTTGTTCATTTAATGTCATTATAAACTCATATAAATTTGGTGTGGGTACCATATCTAATAATTGAGATATCGGTATACCCAAAATCCACCAGCCGCCACTGATGTGTGGAATTATTTGATTTTAAGATATTTAATGTATAATATGCTCAAAGTTGCAATAAATATTATATTTTCCAATAAATTATGTATTTAATTAGTACCCTGGTATACTCGTCACTTCCCTTGCATTCAAATTTAGAAAACACAGATATTTCAGAAAAAGTGACTGGCCCGGTCAGGAACAGTATATTTATTATATTATCTATGCCCTCATAACAAAATACTGTTTAATTTTCTCCGAAAACTATATAAACAAAATGAGCCCATATAAATATATGTACAGG